TCATTTCAACAAACACAGAGACACGTGGCTCTCTATCTGAGGAGTGATAAGTTGCAGTTGTATCCTTTCGACGACGAGTTTCACAATTGAACTATAATAGCTGAGAAATGGTAAGTGCTGTCTTGGACTCAACTATATTACTGGACTGTGTTTCGATGTTTGGCCATCCTAGTATCATTCATACTAAGCAATCAATGTCTGTTGAACTGATTCATGTTGGCAGCTGTTATTGAATGTCCCTGTAAAGCTATTCTTAGTATCAAGCATATATCTTAAAACTATTTTGCCTGCTTTGGCTATGATGATGCCTTCATTTTTACGCTTTAAAGATGTGGCTTGCTTCAGAGCTTCACGAACACCTTCGTTGAAAATCAAGAGAACTAATCTACCTCGTTTGTAAGCTTGCAGATCTTCTATGGCAGCTACATTCCAATTTTTTAGATACGTTGTACCATTTCTGACTTCCATGACAACTCCAAGATGTTCAAGGCGTGTACTGTCCAATTCAGAGTGATCGGCAAGCCCAGACCGTGTGTCATTGATTTATTTTATTATATCGGAAAGCACAATTCCATGGAAAAGAACTCCTGGCTTTCTTACTGTGTCTTTTATTCTACCTATTTGCGATGTTGTCAAGTTTTATCAAACATTATTAGGCATGATACTTGGCCTCCTGTAATATTACATCTTCAGCATTAATTTGGCTAAGAGAACATTGTCTTGTAGTTCAAGTGCACAGTCATGCACTATTTCTGATTATAAATGACGATGCATCGTGGAGATCGTCAGATACATCATCAAAGAAACAATACACTGCAGTCATTGTTCTTGTTGATCCAGAACCACTTTACTGTGACTGGTTGTTTACTTATTTCTTCCAACTGTCAACTTATCTTCAACTTCAGAAGTATGTTTTCGCTTTTACTGATGAAATATTTTGAGAACTGGAAATTTGTTTCGTCAGGATTTGTGACATTTTGCCTTGTGATTCTGGAGTGTTTCTACAGTTCCATAGCCTTCATTCAACTGTTTCAAATTGAGCGACTGGACAACCAATTCAATGTGCAAAATATTTGTATGCTTGCATCAAAGGACTGATTACCAGCTCAAATGTCTATGCCTGTTCTTTTTGTATCTGCTTGGCTTTGCAAATCCTCTCATGTCTTCTCTTGCCGTTTTTCACATTATATCCAGTCTATTTGTCCATAAGCTATAAGTTATTCAGCTTTAGTGATTTCAATATCTAGCTCTGGTGTTTTTGAAATCTACAATTTTGATCCTTTTCGGCAAAGTTCAGTCATAAACAATATCATTGATACGTAAATTCTGTTGTAAAAAAATACTTAGTCAAGCATGTAAGTAAACAGGTTTATGCCTATCTGACCACTTGGTGAATATCCAATGTAAATTAGCAAAAGAAAGTATAAATGCAAACAGTGAATTATGAAAATAGTGAATAATGATATATTGGAAATTCAGGTTTCAAAAGGGCCGTCATTCAATATGGCCCCCAAAATATCAATACCTGAAGTCCTAAGATAATAGTCCTTGTCATATGTGATTAATATACCATGTGTTATCATACGACTGGACTATATGGGAACCATTCTGCGACAAGCGCGTAACTAATTAAATGTAAACGTCAAAGTGAACACGGTTACCGATGCATATGTGTAAAGGCAATATTAAGTTGTAGATGTGGGTGACAATGTGATAGAATATGATAGACAGAGACAGCTATTGTGTGGTTTGACAAAACATGTAGAACTCATGTATTGTGTGATATTTTTAACGGCAATTGAGAACATTTCGGCAGATGATTTCCCTTATGACATTATTTGTATGATAGGATACTCATTATGTCTGCCATCAAGATTTTTTGAAAGTTGTTTCAGATAAATAATAAAAACAAAATGTTTTATCCTCCAATCAGCCAACTATTGTACAAATAACAGGTACACTAATAAATGTTTGCTTTATTTGTGCTTGTAAAAATAAAGTCTCCTGTTATCCCACTTCTAGGTTGAGTAAACGGTAATATTGATATTGCCTTTTGCGACAATTATTCAGATTTTAACAACTAAAGTTTCAAGTGTTGGGTGTAAATTTCAGGATAAAAACAATATATGTACATTGTCATACAATATAAAATTCATTTGTGCTCGCTACAAACAGGAGAAAAACTCGGCGGGCCTCGCTTTTCGTCCTGTTTTTAAAGCTCATACAAATATTTTCCAACAATGTACATATATTGCATATTTATTTTCACCGAAATTATGACTTTGGAGCTATACCTATTTTGTCTTTAAAATTCCAAGATTTTTCAAGATGGCCGCCATTCCATATGGGTAACAATTCCATAAATTATATTCAACAAGACAATTAGTATAAGCACTTTCACTGTTTTTATCAGGTTTTATGTCAATATCTTCCCTGATAAAAATTTCATGAATATTTTAGGAATTTTTAGAAATCAAACGTCCGCCATTTTAAAAATGGCTGCCTCTCCTGCCAATTTCGACTTTCAGACTTGGTCCATAGCTGAAAATATTTTCCATGACATATACTACTACTATGCTAAATTTTATGCTTTTATCACAATCTGAGCAATTTTGCCAAAAATCTGCACAAATCGACTGGACTATATATTATTGTTATGTATATATGTATCTTTGTGTTGATGCGTGTATTTTTTTGTCTTTTATTCGATATTGACACATATGGATGACTTTAAACTAGAATATATGACAAACGTGATGATTTCAACTTTCCAATTGTCAATTTTCACTTTGCGCCATCGTATTGCGTTTACATATCTCAATTGATAAGTTACGTTCGAACATGTTCATACTTTACAGATTTCATTTGCAATGATGGGCTTCAGGATACAAAAACTGTTCAGACAGAATTACGTGGAAGAACGACTGAAATCGATAATACATTAGTTTTACTTTCAGCATCACAAAACATATTGGCTGACTGATGCAATGTGTCTGTGTCTACCCTCACTAGCAATATTTTTTCGCAGTTTTAGATCTGATACCAGAATAGTCGTCTGTTCTGTTTTTTTACAGAATATGTCATATTCCGATGATGCAAAGCTGGAGACGTTTATCCTATCGACGCACCGGGTCTGACTCCTTTTAGAGTTCATGGCATCCCCTCATTTTATGTTTGTTACCTTGATTTGTATCCCTTTAGTCAATATGAACATAGCGAATCTACTGTTGTCTTACTTTAGCCATGGCTAATTGGCAGCAACTAAAACACACCTTTAAGATCATTCGTCCAAGTGTGGTTTATTTTGGTCCAGTGGTTTCAGAGAAGATTTTAGGAATCAACAGATGACAGCCTGACAACATACGACGTACGACGACGCCGCTAGCCAAGTCATGACAAAAGCTCATCAAAAGTTTAACTTATAATTTGCATTAACTCCAAACGTTGCCAGACCGGATGCGAAAACTGTATAAGCGTCTCATGTCATCCCTGCATTATTCGCAATGTGAATCCAAAATCACTGAAAAAACATTAAAGATACCAGATTTATAATTGGTAAGCCAGAAGTGCGTTTTCAAAAAATGAAAACACTTAATAAATTTTATACGTCCTAACAGATTTTCTGGATTTACATTAATCAAGTACGGTCAAAGCCGAATATTTAAAAACCAAGGATGTACAAGGCCCGAAACAGTTGAAGAGCTAAACGTGACCAAAAAGGACCTAAACAAATAGCCAAATCCATCTTAGTTTCTTTATAATTTATGAATTTATAGACGGACAATAACGGAAAGATTTGTTGTAAACCATGTCAGTACCGAAGTGGCGCTCAAACCACCAGTTCGAAGGCCAAAAGAAATACAAAGTTGTAGAGCATTGAAACCCAAATTTTGTTATGCCAAGGCTGGTTTTAGACATCTATGTATTAGAAAAAGCGAATTTTAGTAAAAATGTCACCACAGGGAATAGGACACAATCGATAAATTTACAGATCAGCGTCTCTTTTCACAAAAAATCTTAAGAGTAAAAGTACTCGTAAGTCATACACATACGTATAACTTACGATCAATTTTAATCGTAAGTTTTTTGTGAAAAGTGTCGCAGGCAACTATTCTGAAATTTTTAAATCTTTAACCGCGAAAACGTGTTTTTCGTGAGTCGATATATAGAAAAATCGAATCGATCAGTTTCGTAATGGTGAGTGTTAAAACTTGTACAGTGTCAATTTCTGTTGCTCTTCCTCATAGCCCGGTTGGAGCAGGTTTTGCGTATAATATATTGAGATATGAACGTCATACGACTTTGCAAAGGGCATAGGTATGTTCATTCTACTGAGAAATGGCAAGATGACAATGGGAAACCTGATTTCGACACCAGCGTAATTCAATATATGAGCTTTAACTTATATTTTAATATTAATTTCTTTAGCGGATTCTCACATATAAAAGTAACGCAGATTATTACCAATAAATAATGTTCTGACAGTCCCTTAAGTCTTGGACAGTATAACTTATCTAAGTATTATAGATCCTTGACTTATAGTGTTGATTGTCATAGTGGATCATTTTATTCATGTTTCACATATCAAATCAGAAACTAGTAACTGATTAACTTTTTTTTAAATTTGATATGATCCAGTATGTTAGTATTTTTGTAGTCTAACCCTTGGGAACACCTTACCGATCCTTACCGGAAAACCTTTTGAATCTAGTTAGCCTAAGTACGAATTTTCTATAGGAAAGTTTCTAAGTAAACTTTTTAATATTTGACAATATGCATTTTTACCTCTGTGTTTAAAATTGTTTTCATTGGCTTATAGGTGTATTTTATCAACATATCCCACCAATTGAAATCATGAATATTTATTCATTTTATTCGTTTATTTCCTTTTTTATCATTTGTGTTATACGCTTTTTCATGTTTAAATTTACGAAGAGAAACTATTTAATGTATTTAACCTATAACATATTTAAAAAATTATCATAACTATCGGAAGTGTATTCTATTTATAAAATTGTAACAAAACCTCGCAACTCTGGATAACAAAACGTTTATTTTTTTTATTTTGCAGCATGTGTATACACAGCTGATGAAAAACAGTAAATTTTAACTAAGATGTAACCACACATAAAAAAGTAAGTACTTTAATTTCCGTAAGAAATCAATAAGATAAGATAAGATGCGATAAGAATTTTATTAATCTAATCAAGAACCCATAAAGGGCATCATTTCACAACAACAATATGCACAATATGATTGAAAAAAAAACAAGAACCTAATATGATTCAATCAGGTTATGGACAGGATCAGGGCCTAACACATCATGTGTCTTATATAACTATTACGATATGTTCATGTCAACCTGCTTGATTATAACAATTACTTACCAAAGATGTACAGACATATAGACATGTAGAAAATTTAATAAGCTAAATAAACCAGGTATTTTTCGTCTGTATACGGAGTTTACAATACACACCACTCACTTATAGATATCACATATTTTAATGGGTTAGTATGGATGGTTAGTTTCGTTAATAAATTGATACTACAAACAAGTTCACTTCTACTAAAACAGTATAATGTCTGTATCATGAAATATTTATGGTTTACACATCTATGATGATTTATGATAGTAACTTTAATTAAAAACGCATTTCTTTGTCATTAATTGCAATAACAGTTGAAAGTCAAATTCTATGGTTGCTAAATATTTTGTTGATGCACAGGTAAACAGTGTAATATTTATGTGTGTGCGTGTTAAAAGAGTTCAACGTTTATTTATTTTTGCGTGATAACAGCACATAAGTTGAACCACTTAGTGAAATTTTGTGATTGTGAATAGATAATGGACTTTTTGTCAAATAGGGAAGTTGATGTTAGTTGCAGATTTTCATTTCCTATCGTTAATTATCCATTTTTAGATGGTGACGTTCCCTTGTCACCATCTTACGGTGTTTATATATCTCAACTTGTACGATTCGCTTGTGTATGTAACAATGTTTTAGATTTTAACGAGAGAAATTTATGTATTACTGAAAAATTATTACACCAGGGTTTTCGATATCACAAACTAGTCAAAACATTTACTAAATTTTATCATCGGTATAAGGACATCATTCGTAAATATAGCTCAACATGCAGACTTCTTACACGTTCACATCCAATTTTTTATGGAAATATTCTTTATAAAGCACAAAAATGTCAGTATTCACCTCTGAAGCTAACAAAACCTTTAAATAGACTTATTAAGAAGGGATATAGTTACGATACTGTTGTCAGGTCATTAAAGATTGCATATTTTGGCGTTAATATTGATTCACTTATAGGGTCTTTGCATCGGGACTAAACACATTTATTTAAAAACCAGTTGTTGGCATGACACGGGTTATGTTCTTCTCATATATGTTATGATGGTATGATACTAAACCCCTAACGGGAAGGATTGTGCCTGATGTTCATATGATGAAGACATAATCTTTCAATCAGTTTAATTGAAGTCTGGAGCTGGCATGTCAGTTAACTGCTAGTAGTCTGTTGTTATTTATGTATTATTGTCATTTTGTTTATTTTCTTTGGTTACATCTTCTGACATCAGACTCGGACTTCTCTTGAACTGAATTTTAATGTGCGTATTGTTATGCATTTACTTTTCTACATTGGCTAGAGGTATAGGGGGAGGGTTGAGATCTCATAAACATGTTTAACCCCGCCGCATTTTTGCGCCTGTCCCAAGTCAGGAGCCTCTAGCCTTTGTTAGTCTTGTATTATTTTTAATTTTAGTTTCTTGTGTACAATTTGGAGTTTAGTATGGCGTTCATTATCACTGAACTAGTATATATATTTGTTTAGGGGCCAGCTGAAGGACGCCTCCGGGTGCGGGAATTTCTCGCTACATTGAAGACCTGTTGGTGACCTTCTGCTGTTGTCTGTTCTATGGTCGGGTTGTTGTCTCTTTGACACATTCCCCATTTCCATTCTCAATTTTATTGATAGGCTGTTTAATTTATCCACTTCTTTTATAGACTCTAAAATATTTAGAGCTTGACACAAGATATATATCTCCTTTTAATGGTTTCGCTATATACTTAGTAAAGATTAAAACGTTTACTTTGTTATTTCTATCTTTTTTTAGGTAATAAATTCTCCTGAGGTCTAATTCGTCTACCGACGGCGTCGGGGAGATGTCGTCTGACGTTTTACATCTTTCCAGATATCTTAAAACACAGTCTGAGTTGTCTGAATGTTATGGCAAACCACAGCCCTCGTCTAAGTCATTTACGGAGAATATTAAAGACAAATGCAAACTTTCCAAAGTATGCCCATTTTTACTATCATTATTTCCAATCATAAATGTCTTAAAAACCTATAAGTTCCGGGTGTACATCTTAGATGATATAATAAGTGGCTTATCTGTGGCTTGCCTTCATGTACCTCTGGGACTTGCATTGGGCATATTAGCATCATTATCGCCGGCGTATGGGTTGTACACGTCATTCTTTCCAGTGCTTCTGTATGCTATTTTTGGAACATCTCAACACGTTTCGATTGGAACAAATGCTGTGATTGCTATTTTGACAGCAGAACTGGTTGAAGTGCAGTTAGAACAGTATGATTTGAGTCATAACTCAGCCTTTAACGGTTCCACGGATAATAATCTAACAACAACTTAACCGGACACCGAGAATTCGGATTTAGAGTACAAAGTGTCGGTAGCAGCAGGCTCGTCATTTATTGTTGGATTGTTGCTGTTCATCATGGGGTTGTGTCGAATGGGTTTTATTACATCATATTTGTCAACGTCTTTCATTGCAGCTTTTACCACAACCGGTGCTATTCATATCATTTCCAGCCAAATCCCTAATGCACTTGGCATAACAATTCAACCCGTTAACAAACCAGGAAAGCTGATATATGTTTATAATGAAATATTCAAAGCGTTTCCAAACATTCATGTTGCTACATTATTGGTCTCCATCATATGCTTAATAATACTTGTATTGGTAAAAGATGTTATTAATGAGAGATGCAAAAACAAAATGAAAATGCCAATACCAATCGATTTTATTTTAGTTGTCGTAGCAACAATTATTTCGTACTTTGCAAAATTTCATGACAACTTCGGTATAGCTGTAGTAGGAGAAATACCTGCTAGACTGCCAACGCCGCAGCTACCTCGATTGTCTGTAGATATAATAGGACATAGTGCTGTCGTCGGTACAATCGTGTTTGTACTTACGATTTCGATGGCCCGACTTTGTGAAGTGAAACACGGATATTCAGTTGACGACAATCAAGAACTCGTCGCTTACGGCATTGCAAATTTAGGTGGGTCTTTTTTCTCCTGCTTTCCGGCTTGCGTTGCACCACCTCGTACAATTGTCTTGAGTACAATGGGAGCAAAAACGACATTTAGTGGTATGGTATCAGCTGTTTTTGTATTGCTTGTAATAATATTCATAGGAAAATATGTTGAATCATTACCTAAAGCTGTTCTTGCCGCTATGATTATCGCAGCTATTAAAAACCTCTTATACCAGTTCAAGGACCTACCGATGCTGTGGCGAGTAAACCGATATGATTTTGTTATCTTTGTGGGTACAGTACTGAGTGGTGTCTTTATTGATTTTCCTTACGCTTTGTATGTAGGAGTTCAACTTTGTCTTTTAACAGTTGTTGTGCAAAGTCAAAAATCAACTTCGTATACCATTGGAAAAGTTGAGCAGGAAGATCGTCTTCTTGATCAAAAGACGCACTATGTTCCATTAAGTAACCCGAAAATTGCGATATTCCGAATGGAATCATCTCTTTACTTTGCTACATCTGACAAATTTATAAAGGAATTATACAAAGCAACATTTAATCCGAAAGCCTATCGAAAACAACCGGATTTAAATGTTGAAATTATCATTAGTCAAAGCAAAAATAACGGTAACAATGATATAGGTATTTCTTTGTCCAAAACAAATCACGAAAACGAAAAACCCGTCGTACCTCTTACGCATATTATTATCGACTGTTCGTCTATGAACTATATCGACATGAATGGTAAGAAGGCTTTAATACAGATCAACTCCGAATACAAACAAGTTGGTGTCGTCGTCATGTTGGGAAATTGTACTCATTTCATGAAAACGTTCACGGAGAAATCGGATTTATCAGAGGAAATAGACATGAAAAATGTGTATTCTGACATTTTAGATGCTTATTTTGCAGCAACGCATTAAGAACATTATACAACTTTGAATTGACATTTGTAAGTGGTGCTATTGATTAGAATCTATCGTTTTATTTTTGAATTGCGCAGTTAATACAGTCAATGTATCTAGTGTACATAATTTACATACATACAAAAGATTATACCATTTGCTTTTCAAATTAAATCCTTATTTGCTATAAAATTAAGATTCATTGATTCAGAAGTTAATCCGACTGATCTTTAACATGACACTTTCTTTAAGATTTTCTCGGGAAAGTAGGACTGACGAATGGTCATTACTATAATGCGCAAAAGGCGTCTTTTTTCGTTCTATTTTATCTCATTTTGGCATTACACAATTTTATATCAAATTTCAATGCAGTTATTTCACATATGTCGCATTGAGAAATAATTTATTGAATAAAAGGTTGTTTTTTTTTTTAAAACATGTTCGCCACACCTTGACAGATTTATGTACATATCTGTTAAAGGGTGTTTGTTTTATTTTTTGGTCATATTATATTAATTGAACATATTGGATTTCAAGACTATTCTTACGGGAAAGCGGAAGTATTTTCCTCCATACACGACGATAGTAACATTTCTAAATCTGAAACTTTTTACAATAAAAACCAGGACAAAACATTTATGCGGGATATTAGTTCTTTATTATGCTGTTTTAGAAAATGAAGTCAAATGGTGGAAAAACCATCTTCGAACGGAGATTGTGTATAGTATCCATGGCCACCGTCATTCTACATCATATTTATGAAAATTTGGAAGCCTTTTTCAATATTTCTAAAGAAAATATTTCCATGTTTTTCAAAACTTTTGTTGTAAATATACACACTGCAGTAATTCATAGATAAATTAAATCTATATAAAAAATAAAAAATAAAATATACCCATACATCCAATCACAGCACTCCAACGTAGACTTCCTTCACCTGTCTTGGATACACCAAAGGCCAACCTAATGTCAGGAAAATAAAATACTGCTTGTTTCCATATAATATATTATGGTCGGTTACTCAATACAAAAGTCAATCATATCAAATGTTGATTTGAGGGTAGACAGACAGTGATCAATGAAAAACTTACTTTGGCATTTCTTTTTTATCATAATTATTTTATTCAATTTTTTTTTCGAGATAAAACAATTGGAACTTGTATGTATAAATGTTTTAAATCCAGATAAATTCTAATTTATATATATATATATTTGTCAGCATGAAAATCTAATTCTGACACTGTTGGGTTTAATTTTCAGACTTATATATATATATATATATATATAATTCGTCTAAATAACAGCCCAACAATGTTAGATCTAAAAAAGAAGATGTGGTATGATTGCCAGTGCGACAACTCTCCACAAGAGATCAAATGACACAGAAATTAACAACTATAGGTCACCGTACAACAATGAGCAGCTCATACCGCACAAACGAGAAAACTAACGGCCTAATTTATGTACAGAAAATGAACGAAAAACAAATATGTAACACATAAACAAACGACAACCACTGAATTACAGGCTCCTGACTTGGGACAGGCACATATATACAGAATGTGGCGGGGTTAAACATGTTAGCGGGATCCCAACCCTCCCCCTAACCTGGGACAGTGGTGTAACAGTAAGAACGAACTATAAAAATCAGTTAAAAGATATTTGCGGAAACAAATTTTTGTTCTTCCCTGACTCATGCTACTGAGATATCGTGGCACCAAATCGCCTTGCACTATGCCCGACGCGCTAGACCACTCGACCAACTAGGCTCGACAAAAATCAGGCGTATTTATATTTTTCGTTTGGGCTTGTATTATATTTTCCTTCGGGTTTATATGATCCGTTCATCCTATTTCGACTCTTTAAAATTCAAGAGTCTTTCCTAAATTGAGGTAAATTATATGGCCTTCCAAATACCGTTTCGATCCCTAACATCACTGAAGAGACATTAATTGTCGAAATCCGGATATGGTGTACAAATGTTTGCACCTCATGTTTGTGGTATACCATCTTTTCCACAAGTTTATTGTTTTCTGTTTGGTATTAAGTTAATATTAAGATCCATTTTGTTAGATCTGGTGATCAATTTATTTGGCAATCGTCAATGGCAGTCAGCAGGGTTTAAGAACATCAGTTGTTCGACCTGTTAGTCAAATGCGTTTTGTTAAAATAGACTTTTTCACTTTTTTTGGTCTTTTGGAAATTATTGTTTGTGCTGTATTTAGACCTCTCTACCAAGAAATTTGTTTTACATGCACACGTATAAAAATTGCGGTATTTATCCAACGCAATCATAGGTTTGAACGTTGTTTTCAATTTAGACTTTTATATATTTTTTCGTTTGGGCTTGTATTCTATTTTCCTTCGGGTTTATATGATCCGTTCATCCTATTTCGATTCTTTAAAATTCAAGTCTTTCCTAAATTGAGGTAAATTATATGGCCTTCCAAATACCGTTTCGATCCCTAACATCACTGAAGAGACATTAATTGTCGAAATCCGGATATGGTGTACAAATTTTTGCACCTCATGTTTGTGGTATACCATCTTTTCCACAAGTTTATTGTTTTCTGTTTGGTATTAAATTAATATTAAGATCCATTTTGTTAGATCTGGTGATCAATTTATTTGGCAATCGTCAATGGCAGTCAGCAGGGTTTAAGAACATCAGTTGTTCGACCTGTTAGTCAAATGCGTTTTGTTAAAATAGACTTTTTCACTTTTTTTGGTCTTTTGGAAATTGTTGTTTGTGCTATTTAGACCCCTCTACCAAGAAATTTGTTTTACATATATATATATAAAAGTCTAAATTGAAAACAACGTTCAAACCTATGATTGCGTTGGATAAAAACCGCAATTTTTATACGTGTGCATTTGATTGCGTTGGATAAAAACCGCAATTTTTATACGTGTGCATGCAAAACAAATTTCTTGTTAGAGGGGTCTAAATACAGCACAAACAACATTTTCCAAAAGACCAAAAAAGTGAAAAAGTATATTTTAACAAAACGCATTTGACTAACAGGTCGAACAACAAATGTTCTTAAACCCTGCTGACTGCCATTGGCGATTGCCAAATAAACGGATCACCGATGTAATAAATGGATCTTAATTATAAATTTAATACTAAACATAAAACAATAAACTTGCGGAAAAGATGGTAAACCGCAAACAAAAGGTACAAAAGTTTTTGTACACCATATCCGGATTTCGACAATTAATGTCTCTTCAGTGATGTTAGGAATCGAAACGGTATTTGGAAAGCCATACAATTTACCTCAATTTAGGATAGACTCTTGAATTTTGAGGAGTCAAAATAGGATGAACGGATCATATAAAGCCGAAGGAAAATATAATACAAGCCCAAACGAAAAAATATAAACAAGTCTAAATTGAAAACAACGTTCAAACCTATGATTGCGTTGGATAAAAACCGCAATTTTTATACGTGTGCATGCAAAACAAATTTCTTGTTAGAGGGGTCTAAATACAGCACAAACAACATTTTCCAAAAGACCAAAAAAGTGAAAAAGTATATTTTAACAAAACGCATTTGACTAGCAGGTCGAACAACGGATGTTCTTAAACCCTGCTGACTGCCATGGCGATTGCCAAATAAACAGATCACCAGATGTAAAAATGGATCTTAATTTATTAATAATATACCAAACAGAAAACGATAAACTTGCGGAAAAGATGGTATACCGCAAACATAAGGTGCAAAGATTTGTACACCATATCCGAATTTTGACAATAAATGTCTCTTCAGTGATGTTAGGAATCGAAACGGTATTTGGAAGGCCATATAATTTACCTCAATTTGGGATTGACTCTTGAATTTTGAAGAGTCAAAATAGGATGAAGGGATCATATAAACCCGAAGGCAAATATAATACAAGCCCAAACAAAAAAATATAAACAAGTCTAAATTGAAAACAACGTTCAAACCTATGATTGCGTTGGATAAAAACCGCAATTTCTATACGTGTGCATGCAAAACAAATTTCTTGATAGAGGGGTCTAAATACAGCACAAACAACATTTTCCAAAAGACCAAAAAAGTGAAAAAGTATATTTAACAAAACGTATTTGACTAACAGGTCGAACAACAGATGTTCTTAAACCCTGCCGACTGCCAGATTATATATTTATATAAACAACCTTTTTCCAACACACCAAAAAAGTATATTTTAACAAAACGCATTTGTCTTTTTTTGTCTTTTGGAAAATGTTGTTTGTGCAGACCCCTCTACCAAGAAATTTGTTTTGCATGCACACGTATAAGAATTGCGGTTTTTATCCAACGCAATCATAGGTTTGAACGTTGTTTTCAATTTGGACTTGTATATATATATATATATATATATTGCTGTACATATTCATTTATTTTTTTATTTCTTGAGTGTTACCTGTTAGGTATATGAATAAAATGCCAATCAATTCAAGATCTAGTGCATGTATCAAAATGTGTTTTTGGAACACAGGGGGCTTAATATCTAAAATTAATGATAAGACAACAGACCCATTCTTTTTAAAAGAGATAAACAAATATGATATAGTTTTTCTAGCTGAAACACATCTGGGATATAAAGCCAACATTTTTTAACATTGGTCAATGAGTTATATATTTGTATTGTTTATTATCCACCTAGTGGCTCAGCATACACCAAGGGTCTAGATAAAGATATCCTGGGTTGTATTGAAGCAGATATATGTAAATATCAGCGGGTAGGAAACATTCTTCTTTGCGGGGACTTTAATGCAAGAATATCAGTACAATCTGATTTCATTTTACATGATGACCACCGATACACGCCAGTCTATGATAATTATCCTATTGATAAAAAAATACTCAATAGATATAGTCCAGATATGACCATAGATACAAGAGGCAAAGAACTATTGGATTTATGTGTGAGTCAACAAATACAAATCCTTAATGGTCGCACCCTTGGTGATATGTTTGGCCACTATACATGTTATACTCCTAGTGGAGCAAGTGTGGTAGATTATGTTATGATGTCGGAGGGTATCCTGGATCAGGTTTTACATTTTAAGGTAGCTGACTTTATACCTACCTTATCAGATACTCATTGCAAGCTGGAACGGACAATGTCAGCTAGGTACACTATACAAAAAGATGATAATGTCTGTACAACCTATGGAACCTAATTTTATTTGGTCTGATGATTCTTCTTATAAGTTCAAGCTTGCAATGTGTTCATCAGATAAACAAAACAAGCTTTTAGAGTTTAACAATAATTGTATTAAAGACACACAAGTGTCAGTGGATGAAGCGACGACAGAACTTACTGATCTTATATTGTCAGCTGCACATTCATCTCTCAAAAGGCAAAATTTATAAAAACTTCTCCCTCAAAACCTAAAAATAAAAAATGGTTTGACAAAGATCTTGGGAAAACTAGACAAAACCTCATCAGATATGCTCGTATATATAGCAAGTTTGCAAAGGACAATTTCGTGAGAAACCATTACTATAAGCTTTATCGAGAGTATAAAAAAAC